GATAATAATTGTGATTCTAAATAAATAGCATTATTCTTCAAATATATGTAGTTGCATATAGAACAAGAATTGTACGTATAGTTTCAACATGTTTTATAAATATTACTGGACAAGTGTGTACAATAGTATAGAACTATAAACAAGATTTTAGCTTCTTTCTTTTATTTAAACTATTGAGACGCATGTGCCTTGCACATGTCATAGTGTAGATATTAAAAATATTTGTATTAAGCCCCTTTTTAAATGGAGTATAATGTATTAAGAAAGAGTGATTTTTTGCAGAATATGTGATAAAAAATAAATAAAGCTTTTTGAAATAAGTGTATAATTATTTTATGGGAGAATATGTGATTGAAAATTAACTTTGAAAAATGCATTCTTGAAAAAATGGGGATCAAACGGGTGTTAAGCATCAATTACATCGAACATAAGCACCTAAATATACCAAGGATTGAAATTCCTGTTTGAATTGTAACACTCCTCTTCATAAGAAGCACATATATCGGGATTCAAACAATGCATATAATGTGGAAATGGTTTTAAAAGGAAAATTATACCAAAACGTTATCCTTTTTATGAAATGAGGAGTTAAACAACGTCATATTGCGGTTAAGGGGGGAAGAAAAAAGAGGCAAAACAACAACTTTGGAAAAAAGAGAGAGAAAAACAGAACTTGGCACACATCCATAGAAATAGTGCCAACACAAAATCAATATTTTAATATATCGGAATGAGGAGTTAAACAACATTGTATTGCGGTTGGAAAAAAAGAAGAAGAATTAAACGACGTTGTATTCGGTCCCTAAAAAAAAGAAACAAAACAATAACTTGGAAAAAAAGATAGACAAATAGTAACTTAGCACACATCTATAGGAATAGTGCCAACACAAAGTCACTCCTTTAGTATAAGGGGAAATGAGGAGTTAAACAATGTCATAGCGGTTAGGAAGAGAGAGAGATAGAGTTAAATGACGTCATATTTGGTTCCAAAAAATAAAAAAGAGGCAAAACAATAACTTGGAAAAAGAGAGAGAGAAAGAGAGAAAAATAGTAAATTGGCGCACATCTATAGGAATAGTGCTAACACAAAGTCACTATTCTAATATATAGGAATGAGGAGTTAAACAACAATATGCATCGTATTGCGGTTAGGAAAAAAAATGATGAAGAGTTGAACAATGTCGTATTTGATCCCTCAAAAAAAGGCAAAACAATAACTTGGAAAAAAAAGGAGGAAATAGTAACTTGGCATGCATCCATAAGAATAGTGCCAATACAAAGTCACTCTTTTAATAAACGAGGATATATAGGGATGAGGAGTCAAACAATGGCGTATTGCGGTTAGAAAGAAAATGGGGAAAAAAGAGGAGTTAAACAACGTCGTGTTTGATCCCCCAAGAAAAAAAAAAACAAAAAAGAGGCAAAACAATAACTTGGAGAGAGAGAGAGAGAGAGTAACTTGGCACACATCTATAGGAATGGTGCCCACACAATGTCATTCTTTTAACATATAAGGATAGGGAAATGAGGAGTTAAACAATGTCATATTGCATTTAGAAGGAAAAAAAAGAAAAAGAAAAAAGAGGAGTTAAACGATGTCATATTCATTCCCATAAAAAAGAGGCAAAACAATAAGTTGGAAAAAGAGAGAAAAATAATAAATTGGCGAACATCCATAGGAATAGTGTCAACACAGAGTCACTCTTTTAATAAATAGGGAAATAGGGATGAGGAGTTAAACAATGACGTATTGTGGTTAGAA